TCAAAGAAAGACTTAGCAGAGGCGTCGCACCCTATATCAGTCTAAGGGCGATAGCGAGACAGGACAAGTGCATCTGGTAAACGACGGCAACATACGCCACACGAAGCTAAAGGGCTGCACATCGCACCGTGTGACCATCGCGCATGTCAATTGCGACGTTGTCCGACAATTGCGACAACGGCATCGGTGTTGTCGAAACCGCCACTGCCGTCGTCGTCGTCGCTTCTGAAGCTACTATCGGTGCGGCACCTGCGGCCTGCCGTCTCTTCGCCCTGGCACCGCCAGCGACTGCAGGAGCCATGTTGATAGAAAGAGGTTTAGTCTCTGCTCGAGGCAGGGAAGGGAACTGGCAAAGGGGAGATATGGGTGGAGGCAAATGGGGGAGTGGAGAGCTGGCTGCATGGCATGCAGCGCAATACGAGCCTGGCTAGTGGCCCGGTTTGCCTACTAGGTCCGGGTTTGGGCTTGCCGAATCGACAATCATGGCACTGTATGAAACTGCTTGTGGCATAACCAGGCCTGTTTGGTGGTCTGTTCTGCCTCGTTTGGTCTTTCGCTTTGGACATACCGAGCCGAAACCTAAGGTTCAGGGCTGCTTTGGTGGTTGGGAGGTCGCGGAGGTTGAGGGAGGCGAACGGAGCCTGCTGCTTCCTGCAGCTGGTGTGGTGTGGTGCGGTTGTACAGTGTACGTGTTGCTGTTGCAGCCAGTTTGAACTGTAGCTGATGGAGGATGACGGCTTTCTGACAGATAATTTTGGAGACAACTCATGACGGGGATATCGCTTGCCTGTCGTAGAGCCTCGACTTCTCAACGCTGGACATCTGCGACCAGTCAGGGGAGAGGTGATGAGGGTTCAGCAGAAAGGTGGCTGTTCGTCTCCACCCCACTGACGGACTCCGGCTGACTCTGACGTTAAAGCGACGGTGCACATTTGCCACCCAAAACCCAGAACCCTGGCGAACTGTTACTGCGGATGGAAAGTGTCCGCACGAAATCCTGGTTTTCGCCAGCCAGCACTTTCGCGCTGGCAAGCCTGGTTCAAAAAAAAAACTTCTGAACCCAACACTGCCAAAAGTTGCCCGTCGCTTTAAAACCAGGGTGCACATTCATAATGGGTGTACTCCCATCGGAAAGAAATTGGTGTTCGGCGAAAAAAGTTTGGCAGGAACGAAAATACACTAGGAAGAATGGATGTGGCGAGAAATACGAAAGTGGGCGAATTGTGGCTCACTGAATTAAATCTGCGCCTGCCTGCAGCTAGGGGCTGCGGAACGACCTTCCATTTCCGCCACCCTCCCAGACACCATAGTGATGAGTGAAGAAAACGTCTCGCACTGTCTCGCCACACCAACCAACCGCCAATACACATCAGGAACCAGGCGCCGGAGAATGTGAATAGGCAAGCAACGCGCATTTCTTCTAATGACGCGAAGGGATTATGTTTAGGGTTATAAGAGATAGGGTTAGGCGAAATGTGTGGAATCGCAGCGAGTGTGTTTAGATATATAGAACCATCGTGGCAGGACACCAATGGGGAGGGAACCGGGCAGCACAACAAGGATTTCGTCAGTGGAGAGCCCCCCAAATGACATATGATTATGGGGCGTGGAGGTGCGGAGGCGGCATGTTGCATTATCGCCATAGAACAGCGCGAAAAGTAGGGTAGAAAGGCATAAAACTCGCAAACCGAAGAATAGGGTAACGGTAGGAAGGCGACGCGTGACTCATCGCCCGCACCCGCACCGTGACTACTGTCCACGCGACAAGAAGACATTCGCGCGGTCGACTTTGAAAAATAAAAAGGTGGCCATCTATGTAGCCATTTTCACACGCAGCCCTTACTTGCATTCTCCACGCCCCTCACTCTCATTGTATTACCCAACACCGGCACTTACTTTCCCCCACCCAGCTATTCAGTTTCCCCCATGCAGCTGTTTACTACCCCCCAGCAGGCTATTTACTTCCCTCCATCCAGCTACCTACTTCCCCCCATCCAGCGTCTACCATCCCCCCCACCCAGCTATGACCTTCCCCCCCCATCCTGCTAATTACTTCTCCCCACCCAGCTTCTAACATCCCCCCATCCAACTACTAACTTTCCCCCCCAAGTAGCTACTTACTTCCCTTTCCCCCACCGCGCTACCTTCTTTCCCGGTCATTGGGCTACTTACCTCCCCCCACACAGCTACTCACTTCCCCCCACCCAGCTACTTACTTCCCCCCACACAGCTACTCACTTCCCCCCACCCAGCTACTCACTTCCCCCCACACAGCTACTCACTTCCCCCCACACAGCTACTCACTTCCCCCCACACAGCTACTCACTTCCCCCCACACAGCTACTCACTTCCCCTCACCCAGCTACTCACTTCCCCCCACCCAGCTACTTACTTCCCCCCACCTAGCTACTCACTTCCCCCCACACAGCTACTCACTTCCTCCCACACAGCTACTCACTTCCCCCCATCCAGCTACTCACTTCCCCCCACACAGCTACTCACTTCCCCCCACCTAGCTACTCACTTCCCCCCACCCAGCTACTTACTTCCCCCCACCTAGCTACTCACTTCCCCCCACACAGCTACTCACTTCCCCCCACACAGCTACTCAATTCCCCCCACCCAGCTACTCACTTCCCCCCATCCAGCTACTCACTTCCCCCCACCCAGCTACTTACTTCCCCCCACCTAGCTACTCACTTCCCCCCACCCAGCTACTCACTTCCCCCCACCCAGCTACTTACTTCCCCCCACCTAGCTACTCACTTCCCCCCACACAGCTACTCACTTCCCCCCACACAGCTACTCACTTCCCCCCACACAGCTACTCACTTCCCCCCACCCAGCTACTCACTTCCCCCCACCCAGCTACTCACTTCCCCCCACACAGCTACTCACTTCCCCCCACACAGCTACTCACTTCCCCCCACCCAGCTACTCACTTCCCCCCACACAGCTACTCACTTCCCCCCACACAGCTACTCACTTCCCCCCACCCAGCTACTCACTTCCCCCCACCCAGCTACTCACTTCCCCCCACACAGCTACTCACTTCCCCCCACCCAGCTACTCACTTCCCCCCACACAACTACTCACTTCCCCCCACCCAGCTACTCACTTCCCCCCACACAGCTACTCACTTCCCCCCACCCAGCTACTTACTTCCCCCCACCTAGCTACTCACTTCCCCCCACACAGCTACTCACTTCCCCCCACACAGCTACTCAATTCCCCCCACCCAGCTACTCACTTCCCCCCATCCAGCTACTCACTTCCCCCCACCCAGCTACTTACTTCCCCCCACCTAGCTACTCACTTCCCCCCACCCAGCTACTCACTTCCCCCCACCCAGCTACTTACTTCCCCCCACCTAGCTACTCACTCCCCCCCACACAGCTACTCACTTCCCCCCACACAGCTACTCACTTCCCCCCACACAGCTACTCACTTCCCCCCACCCAGCTACTCACTTCCCCCCACACAGCTACTCACTTCCCCCCACACAGCTACTCACTTCCCCCCACCCAGCTACTCACTTCCCCCCACACAGCTACTCACTTCCCCCCACCCAGCTACTCACTTCCCCCCACCCAGCTACTCACTTCCCCCCACACAGCTACTCACTTCCCCCCACCCAGCTACTCACTTCCCCCCACACAACTACTCACTTCCCCCCACCCAGCTACTCACTTCCCCCCACACAGCTACTCACTTCCCCCCACCCAGCTACTCACTTCCCCCCACACAGCTACTCACTTCCCCCCACACAGCTACTCACTTCCCCCCACCCAGCTACTCACTTCCCCCCACACAGCTACTCACTTCCCCCCACACAGCTACTCACTTCCCCCCACACAGCTACTCACTTCCCCCCACACAGCTACTCACTTCCCCCCACACAGCTACTCACTTCCCCCCACCCAGCTACTCACTTCCCCCCACCCAGCTACTTACTTCCCCCCACCCAGCTACTCACTTCCCCCCACCCAGCTACTCACTTCCCCCCACCCAGCTACTCACTTCCCCCCACCCAGCTACTCACTTCCCCCCACACAGCTACTCACTTCCCCCCACACAGCTACTCACTTCCCCCCACCCAGCTACTCACTTCCCCCCACACAGCTACTCACTTCCCCCCACACAGCTACTCACTTCCCCCCACACAGCTACTCACTTCCCCCCACACAGCTACTCACTTCCCCCCACCCAGCTACTCACTTCCCCCCACCCAGCTACTCACTTCCCCCCACCCAGCTACTCACTTCCCCCCACCCAGCTACTCACTTCCCCCCACACAGCTACTCACTTCCCCCCACACAGCTACTCACTTCCCCCCACACAGCTACTCACTTCCCCCCCACACAGCTACTCACTTCCCCCCACCCAGCTACTCACTTCCCCCCACCCAGCTACTTACTTCCCCCCACCCAGCTACTCACTTCCCCCCACCCAGCTACTCACTTCCCCCCACACAGCTACTCACTTCCCCCCACACAGCTACTCACTTCCCCCCACCCAGCTACTCACTTCCCCCCACCCAGCTACTCACTTCCCCCCACACAGCTACTCACTTCCCCCCACATAGCTACTCACTTCCCCCCACCCAGCTACTCACTTCCCCCCACACAGCTACTCACTTCCCCCCACACAGCTACTCACTTCCCCCCACACAGCTACTCACTTCCCCCCACACAGCTACTCACTTCCCCCCACCCAGCTACTCACTTCCCCCCACCCAGCTACTTACTTCCCCCCACCCAGCTACTCACTTCCCCCCACCCAGCTACTCACTCCCCCCCACACAGCTACTCACTTCCCCCCACACAGCTACTCACTTCCCCCCACCCAGCTACTCACTTCCCCCCACACAGCTACTCACTTCCCCCCACCCAGCTACTTACTTCCCCCCACCCAGCTACTCACTTCCCCTCACCCAGCTACTCACTTCCCCCCACCCAGCTAACATCCGCCCTTGCTCCCCTCTCGTTCCCTCCACCCAGCTACTGGCCATGTCGTCTGATTGTGAGGTGCGGAGTTCTGCCCTTGAAGAGTTGCGTGACATGGCGAACAAATGCGAAGTGAAGAGTCTTGGTATTTCTAGTCACATGCAGCTGCCAATCTGTTTCCTACGGATTGGTTTGTCATGCTTGATGGGAAGGACTGCATCCATTGCCGATCTGGTGTTCTTCTTACTAATGGTGGGGGATGGGGCAATCGAGAAGCTGATGATGGCAGCAACAAGGGCTGGTGAGATGTGACGGAGTTGTGGGACAGTTTGGGGCATGTAGTTGAGATGAACAAGAAAGATTCATTAGTTCCTAATCTTTTGTTCGCGCAGGATCCGATGGGACAACCGCAGTCGAAAGCGTGAAAGTACTTCTAGCGACATTTGGTGCATCTTTCAGATGCAGGGCACATATTGCATCAGAGGATCTATCAGATCTTACGATGCGGGATCCTTATGGCATTGCAGGTCTACGATACGGCTTTCCTGCATACACCCTGGGTCCCGATGGAGCGTTGTATCGGGATGGCCGGCGGTTTCAATGGGGTGGGGCACGGAAGGGCTCCAACTATGATGCTGGTACGTACGATCGATTCTTTTCCGAAATGCGGCGCAAGTGTGACAAGTGTGAAACCGAGACATGGATTGACATTTTTTTTCCTGGCGAATGTTGTGTCATATCACCCACAATCATGTACTTATTCGAGGCATCCCTAAACTATTATGAAACTACAATTGCCCCCACGATCTAAATTCATGGCAGCTCGACAGGATAGGCCTGTCCATGACGTCACGGCGGGTGTGGAATGGCAAGACGTGGTGATCGGGAGTGATGCGCCAGCGCGCCCAGACCAAGGCACTGTGGCTGTTGAGGTTGTGCATGAGCTGAGCGGACTGCGCGGGCCACCACCTGACTTCCGTCAGGAAACACGTTGCAATGGTGATGCAAGCCCGAGGATAGCAAGGTACTTACGTGATGAACAGAATGCGTAGAGCCCGGACCCTTCGCATGTTGATGTCCCAATGGTGCGCATTCATGTACACATTCATACGATTCAATCACTAAGTTTTGTGCACATCTACCCACCCTTCTGCTCCCGTACACCGGCAGAGCATGTGCACCCCTCCCTCCCCACAGCACTGTGGCTGTTGAGGTCGTGCACGAGCTGATCGGACGGCGCGGGCCACACTCGGACCTCCGTCAGGAAACACGTTGCAATGGTGATGCAAGCCCGATTCCAGCAAGGTACTTACGTGATGAACAGAATGCGTAGAGCCCGAACCGGACCCTTCGCATGTTGATGTCCCAATGGTGCGCATTCATGTACACATTCATACGATTCAATCACTAAGTTTTGTGCACATCTACCCACCCTTCTGCTCCCGTACACCGGCAGAGCATGTGCACCCCTCCCTCCCCACAGCACTGTGGCTGTTGAGGTCGTGCACGAGCTGATCGGACGGCGCGGGCCACACTCGGACCTCCGTCAGGAAACACGTTGCAATGGTGATGCAAGCCCGATTCCAGCAAGGTACGTACGTGTTGAACATCATGTATAGAGCCCGGACCCTTCGCATGCGTAGGGCATTCGGTGCGCGTATAGTACACATTTATAATAGTAACGTGCTGCCTATCACTACTAGTAAGAATAGGCAGGTCGAGAAAGAAGTACACAAACATTCGATGTGTCCGTCAAGATGTGTGGGAAATTGGATTGGGGGAAATTGAGGGGGGAATACCACTCTGAACCACTCCGCTTTCTTCCGCTAAGCAAGAAATTGTTTCCCCCACCTCCACAGTCGGGAAACGCCGTAACTCGGCCGGTCAAGGGATAACCTTTGATGAAATTGGAATGAATGTGCACCCTGGTTTTAACGAAGCGCAATTGACAGAACGGAACAGAATGCAGGCCAGCGCGCAGTGTGCGGCAGTTTGTGCAGTTTAGTCCTTGGCGAACGTCTCGTCAAGGCGACCTCGTTACCAGACGTCCGAGGCTAGGAGACTTCACACCAGCACGGTGAAACCAAAGGGTTTTGTATTTTTTTTTTTTAAGATTATTTGATAAACATACACCGAATGAACAAGCATATGCTACAAAAAACGGTCGTAACCGTGCTTAAGGAACAGTAGACATGCTACCGCCCCAGCTGAGACTCCTAGGGCCGAGCCCTCCTCCTAGACCAGATTGGCCGCAAACGAAGTTGTCCACTTCCAACCACTGCCATCCAATTTGATCTTCCGTAATAGCCTTAGCTCCTCTGCCAGCCCCCTCTGCTTCTGTTTCCGCCACGTCACCCCGAATTTACGAAGGTAAATTTTTGCATGCTGCCTGAAAGCGAACTCGATCCTGTACAGCAACCGTTGCGTCCGGAATTTCCCGCCCCGAAATACAGCATCACAGCGCTCCAACCACAGATGGTGAAAAGTGATTGCCGTGATGGTCAGCTCTGGAAATGCTGAACTGGAGCTGGTTTTCCGGAACAGAAGATCACCCAGCGTGGCCGTTGCGCGATTGGGATTAAGCATGCACAAGGCATGTCGGAGAGCTGAGGTGACAGCCTGGATCCGAGGGCATTGAACAAGACAATGTTCCAGGGTTTCTGGTTCCCCGCAATACGGGCAGGAGGGCTTGCTGCTGAGGAAGGCAAGCCGCTCCCCCACCTGTAAATTGAGCCCGTGGATTCGGAGAAGGACATCACGTGGACGGCTGGGAACCGCCAGCGAGTCCCGTGTCTGAATCACCCACTTCCAATCAATGTGACCGTCCCAGCGCTCTGCCCATTTCTGCTGCTTGTACGACTGAATGTTGGCCGCTGTCCAGGCCTCCTTCATCTACCGCAAAGAAATCAGCTGCCCGTCTGCAAAAATGTTAAGCTGCGAAACAGAGCCAGCCGAGCGAGGGAGTTGTCAAACTTAAATGCTATAGTCTGTTTAGGCTGTAGTGGGGTAGTTCTTATAGGGTACAACACTTTTAGGTTTCCTACTTGTACCCACCTGCTTTCTAGTTCATTCAATCATTCGTTCACATTCTCACATGGTATTCTGAGCAGGTTCCCTCGTGGGAATGTTTTTTCTTAGGGCCCACCACAAGAACTTTTTTTTCCTGCCCTGCTCGAAGCGCGCATCGCGCCTGCCCTAGCTACACAGTCGCCCGCCCTTCCCTAGCCGGCCCTTTCCTAGCCGGCCCGTCCCGGCCTGTTCCTGGCCCGTCGCGACCCCTTTGCCGCCCGTCGCGGCCCCTCTCCCGCCCGTCGCAGCCTGTTCGCCGCCCGTCGCGGCTCCCCTTTGCCGCCCGTCGCGGTCAGTTCGCCGCCCGTCGCGGCCCCTTTGCCGCCAGTCACGGCCCTTTCACCGCCCGTCGCGACCACTGCCCAGCAGTCGCCCCCTGTCGCGGCCCTGCCTTCGCCGCCTGTCGCGGCCACTGCCCTGCTGCCGCCCCAGTCGCGGCCCTGCCTCAACCGCCCGTCGTGGCCTCTGCCCTGCAGCCGCCCACTGTCGCGGCCCTGCCTTCGCCGCCGTTGTGGCCTCTGCACTGCAGCAGCCCCTGTCGCGGCCCTGCCTTGCTGCCGCCCCTGTCGCGGCCCTGCTCTGCAGCCGCCCTTTGTCACGGCCCTGCCCTGCAGCTGCCCCTGTCGCGGCCCTGCCCTGCACCTGCCCCCGGTAAGCACTTGCGCTGTCCTGCCGCGCCGCGCCGCCTGCTGCCGCACCGCGCTGCCAGGAACCGAGCCGCGCCGCCCAGCCGAGCCGCGCCGCCTTTGCCGAGCCGCGCCGCCCAGCCGAGCCGCGCCGCACTGCCGAGCCGCGCTGCCCTTCTGCTTGCCCTGCTTCTGCTGCCAATGCTGCTACTGCTGCTACTGCTGCTACTGCTGCTATGGCTAGCCCTACTGTTCTCACCTTTGATGCTGAGGGGCGTACAGTTGACTTTGACGTGTGGGTTGACGACCTGCAGCTCTTTCTTTACTGTGACTCTAGGGATGGGGTATCCCTTTTCGATCACACGTCCGGTGTCTCTACTGCTCCTGCTGCCACTGCTGACAGTACAGTTCGCTCGCAGTGGACCACTCGTGACGCTGTTGCTCGTCTTGCCGTTCGTAGTCACCTGCCGCCTGCTGAGCGCGCGCATTTTGGCCAGTACAAGACTGCTCAGTCTTTGTACGACGCTGTAGTTGCGCGCTACTCCTCCCCTGCCACTGCTGCCCTTAGCCGCCTCATGCTGCCGTACCTTTTCCTTGACCTTGCCACCTTTGCCACAGTCGCTGACCTCATTGCTCACCTCCGCACTAGTGACGCCCGCTACCGCGCTGCCCTTCCCACTGAGTTCTGTGCCAAGAACCCCCCCCCCCCCCATGTACATCACCCTTTACTACCTAGTCACCCGCCTCCCTGACTCCCTTGCTTCAGTCAGGGACCACTTTCTCTCCCTTTGCCCCACCGAGCTAACTGTCGACCTGCTAGAGGAACGCCTAGCTGCAGCTGAGAAGAGTATCTTAGCTGTAGGTTCTTCTCGCGGCGACCGTCGCACCCCTTTTGTTATAGTCACAATAGGCTTGAATGTGCCTAAAACGAAAGATAGAGAGCACAGACGGATTTGTGCAGAGCGGCTTCAAACGTTGATAGCGTTCTGCTCACAGCTGCAAATGACCTGATTCAAATTGGATCTGGAGCGTCTTCACGTCGTCTACAATTAGCAATTTAGATTGCACGATTTGATAAAGAATTGACGACACAGCGTCGGTTTGAACGAACGGTACTATGGCAGCCACTATAGTCTTAGATTACAAGATAGGAAGAGTTACGAGTTGGGAATGACTCCCAGCTCCTACAAACCCCAAGAGCCGAGGTACAGTGATGTGGAACAGTGCCACACTGTCCCCAACCACGTAGGGTCTCGAAACTACCCTTCACTAGGGCCTACACCAAGTGAAATGTTACACTACACAAAGTAATGTAGCTATCTTCAATATCTTGAGGTGTACCCTTTTTGGCGAGCTTCGAAATCACTTGAGGCTTGACACCAAGGCTCGGGATCTTCATCACAAACTCATCCTTGAGTTCTTGATGGGTCTGCTGCACACACCTGCGACACGCCGAACGTTCGACACAGGACAAAATAGAAACCGCGCACGACAAAATAGAAACCGCGCACGACAAAATAGAAACCGCGCGCGAGACACAAACGACCGCGTAACACGCGTCTAGCGATAACTCGCTATTGACTCGACACACACACTCGACATCATGACTCAACATTCACACACAATTATAAGCATGAAATATATATTATCCCATGCCCTCATACCATTCCATACACACACACATTCACGCACACGGACAACAAGCCGAGTGCAAACCGTAGGGTTGCACCAACACCTTTTTTTGAGGGGTGTTCCCCTGTCTCCCTTCTCCCCTCTGTTGCTTCTGCTGCTGCTGTCGACCTCGTTGGCACTGAGGAGGTCGGAGCTGCGTCTGCCCCTAGTGGGAGATGCCGCAACAGCAAGGGCAAGGGGAGCAAGGGTGGTGGAGGGGACCGCGGGGGCGGCGGCGGAGGCGGTGGAGGAGGCGGAGGGGGTGGAGGTGGAGGTGGGGGTGGTGCCGGGAGTGGGGGCTTCAGTGGCGGCGGTGGAGGTGGTGGAGGCAGCGGCAGCGGTGGTGGAGGCAGCGGCAGCGGTGGTGGAGGTGGCGGCGGCGGTGGTGCTGGTCGAGGTGCAGCCACGCAGCGTGGAGGCTTTGGTGGCAGCCAGCGCCAGCAGCATCCGCGTTCCCGTGAGACCCTGTCGGCCCAGCAGCTTCGTGAGTGGTACATTGGGCGTGGGAGGTCTGGGGGTGTTGGTCCCTGTACTTACGTTCTTCGCACCGGCGGGCGTCGTGGGGAGACGTGCGGGCTGCCACACACTGCGCAGCGCTGCTTCGGTCGCTTGACTGACGACTGGCGTGCCCAGTTTCCTGACGTTGTTGAGCTCCCTCGCTGGCATGATATGCTTAGGCAGAATGTGGCTATCTTTGATCTTGATTTCAATGCTATCCTTGCTGCCATGTATGCTTTGACTGATAGTGCTGAGGGTGTCTGTTACCTGAGTGTCCCGCCCGACCCGGTCATTGAGGCTGCTGCTCTAGGTGCTAGTGCGTCTACTGCTCCAGGTACTGGTGAGTCTGCTGCTCCAGGTGCTGGTGAGTCTGCTCTCTCTGGTACTGCACCGACTGAGGCCTTGCACACTTTCACACTTGACTCTGGTGTTTCGCGCTCT